TAGATTCTTCCTTAAACAACTATGGTCACGAAGCAAAAAAAATCGAACTTATTCTAAGTGTGAAAATATTCGCACTTATATTTACACTAGAATGTAAAACGAAACGATGATTCAAGAATTTCCGAGATCTTGGTACAAGAAGTCAAGAAATTATAAGATGTTCAAGATCTTGACTTCTTGAAATTTCTTGAATTCTTATATTTTCTTACCAAGATCTTGAATCAAGATCTTACTGAAAAAATTAAAGAAGCTAAGATCTTGGTTACAAGAAGTTTCACTAGGGTGGGGTATTCTACACCACTAGCAAGATTCCCATTTAGACTACTGTAAATTATGAATTCTTGTTTGATACGTGAAGGCAATACGCATATACAACAGGCTATAAATAATTATCTAAGTATAAACTACCAGGTCGCCTTCTACGATGAAAAAAAAAATTAAAACAGTAAATGGAATCTCATTTGATTCTTGTTTAACTCTCAAAATTTCATTCGATGAATTTGCTTTTCTGCAAAACGGTAAAGTGTATGAAGTAAGCACATTGTTTTCCAATCGATCATGTACAACTCTAGTGAATGCACTAAGTGCTGAGTATCCGAATACTACATAAATCTCTGTCAGAAAACGGGTTGGGTAGAAGAAATGGCGCTATATTCTTTATAAAATAAGTATTTGCCGTTTTTTTGTAGTAGTAAAAGCACTGGATGCCACAAAAACATTACTTGCTCAGCACTTTACTGGAATAAAATATCCGTTTTATTTGCCAAATAATTTTGTATACGCTATTCAAACACAGTATGAAAAAGAACAGAAACATATTTGTTTTTGAGATACAAAACTAAATTTTTGGACAAAATTTTACTATTTAAAAACTGTCTACAGAAAATGGCTAATTATCGATTTTTGCGCCTTTCGTGTCAAGGAAAATTTCTCAACTTATTCATTCGATTAGAAAAACAAGTCAGCCATTATAAAGAAGAGCATTTTGTAGAGTTTGAAATTCTGCATCTGTTGGTATAAAAACATAATTATTGTAAGTCCGAATTTTGAGAAAAATTGCTAAAGACAAGTACGATTCCGTTGGCCGAGGTTGTCTTCTTGATGTTTTGTATTTTTTGAAGGATAAATAAGTAAGCATTTAAAGGCAAACATACCACTAGATGCACCGAAAAATTCTACATCTCTAACTACCAGGAAAATTTTTTGAACTGAATCTTACTCGACAAAAATTGATTTTAAAAACTTTCTGATTTTCTAGTTGAGCAAGCGGTGTTTTTGTGGCATCCAGTACTTTTACTGCTACAAAAAAACGGCAAATGCTTATTTTACAAAGAACATATCAATAAAATCTACACAAAATGCTCTATCTTTTAGCATCAGAACGAAACTTTCTGATCCAGTCTAACTTGAGAAACAGCCTCTCAAAAGTCTCGCCATTTCCTCTGCCCAACCTGTTACTTATTACTTAAAAGGAAGGTATGCTCTGTCGAAAACACACGATACCCGAATCTCGACAACTTATATAATAATCTTCCCAAGTCTCCAGGTCAACTTTTACGCTGAACTCGTGACGTGATCCCGTTGTCGCGTCCGTGATAGCTATGATTTCGCACGTGACACTTCACGATCGCTATGGATTTGTACGGCCACATCGCGTTCATACTAGAACCTTATTTCTTCCAAAAAATAGTAATCATGATTCATGATAAGAGTTTTTGGCACTACACGATCCTAGAGGAATCTTAGAACTCCCGAAGTGAGTCGCTAGGATTCTGACGCAACAAAACTCCTGTAGTTGCTTCGCGAAACGTGAGAAAACTGTAGTTACGACGTGAATCACGATCCCCAGAACTCATTCACTCTTTTGTTTTGCAGTTGAATGTATATAAAAGCACGAAAGAAGCAGTAAAATTTTGCTTAATTTTTGTTCCGAAGTTTAATTTTCGCATCAAGAGTCACGTTCCCTCAATGGGGAACGCGACTCTTGATGCGAAAATGCGACTTTCTCAACAGTGAGCAACTACGGAATTTCTAGAAAATATTTTTGGAACTACTGTCACAACTATCGTGAGTCAAGCCGCGAAATAGCTCTTCTACTCTACAATCACTATAAGAATAGCCACTGACTTAAGATCATGACGCGATTTTCAGAGCTCGCCTAGGATCCTACAGGACCGCGCCACGATGCCAAGAGTTCTGACAAGGCCCGCCATGACATTACGTCAAAAACGCTGAGCGACAATGGCGTCTTGTTTCATGACTCTAACCCTGATCTTGGCATGAGTCCCGCCATGACTTTGGCCTGAAAGTTGATATGGGTTAAGTGAAGGTTTCCCTATCAGGGAGGGCACGGGGTTACTGCTCCCTCCGAAAACTTTTTTTAACTTTCTTTTGACAAAATCTTTAACGCTTTTCTATCAGCAACTTCCTACCAACAACAACAATCCGGAAGAAGCTACCACCTGCTGTTTCTAATTCTTTGTTAGTATTTGAGAGTTTCACTATTTTGTTCAAGTGAAGATCAAGGCTATTCTAAGTCGTCCTTTTTTTTAATGCAGCTCAATTACAGATGTGACAGAAAACTTCAAAAAATCAGTGGTACTTATGTACGATGTGTGCCAACTCTAGTAAAAATATCAAGCTATTGAAATTGAAACCGACACTTATCAAAATTTTGCACCAGCTGCGTGTAATGATTTAAAATTAATATACATTTTCATTTCATCGCTCTTGTTGACTATAAAAAAATTTAGTATATTTTAACAATTATAATTCACACAAAAACAAAGATAGATCTATTTAGATCTTGTTTTATATGCCATCAAGCTACGAGATTGAATTAAATTCATCTGTGTTTTTCGACCAGCTGCAGCACGTTGTGATTTTGTACGGAATATATTCAAAAATTCCATACTAAAACAATATTGAAAATATTGATTGAATAAACGTAAAGTTTCATTTCGAAATGTTTTACCACCTAAACAATAGAAATAAAAATTTAATGAACAATTTGCAAGAATAATAACTGATACCGAATGAGTTAGAAAAGCATCATTCGTAAACAAATGTACAATAGTATGCGTTAACGATGAGAAAAAAAATAGACAACTGTGAAGAATAAGTACAATGTTCATCCCCGATGTTTTTGGTCGATTATAAGCAATACATTTTTCAAAATTTTGAGTAGTACTGGTATTTTCCTCTAGCGATGAATCTTCGATGGCAACTTTTATTGTGCGTGGAATATCGAGTCGAAGTTGACATGATGCTTTGATAACACGCAGAATAATGCCAATATTGAAGAGTGTAACTAGAATTGTTGGTATAATTTCGGAAAATATTGAACGTAATGTATGATAATTAAAATCGAATTTAACATCTAATAAGTAGTTATCCCATGCATTAGATACGTTATGTTTTAAAATACAACTTTTTGGACGATATTGTTGGTGGGATTGATAACCAGAAGAACGTTGAGATAAAACAGTTTCGTTCCTCAAATCTTGTGGCTCTGGTGGATGAGACCTTTGAAAAGAACAAGATGATATGACTTTCATTTTAGGCTGTGAGAACCTTTAACATTTCCAGCGAATTAGTAACTAACACGTGTCCGCGTTTTATTGCGAATATTGCGAAACAAAAATTAAGCACGCTTAGCCTCACTACTCACGAAGGAAGTCCACCAAATTGAAAATCGTTTCCTGGTCAAAATCCAGTGGATCATAGTCTATCGACGGTCCTAAATCCGAATCTCACCATGAGATCGGCTGCTAGGCGTTGCATGATCTGGTTTTCCAGAAAACCAGGTTTTCAGAATCCTCCAAAAATCCTCAAACCTTTTCTAAATAAGTCATGATTGTAGCCCGCGAAATTAGGATCAAATGAGACATCTCCCAGCTCTACACGACCTTTCTTTGCAAAGTTATAGAATTTAGTGGATGAGCCCTAGCTCTGAGGTGACAATGAACATTTAAAGCTTATCTTGTAAATTGTATAACTTTGCAAAGGTCGTGTAGAGCTGGGAGATGTCTCATTTGATCCTAATTTCGCGGGCTACAATCATGACTTATTTAGAAAAAGTTTTAGGGATTTCTGGAGGTTTCTGGAAAACCGGATCATGCAAGGCCCAGCAGCCGATCTCATGGTGAGATTCGGATTCAGGGCCATCGCTAAACTATGACCCACTGGATTTTGGCCAGCAAACGATTTTCAAGTTGATGGACTTCCCTGGTCAGTGAAGCATTTTATCATTCAGCTATTGACTAATAGTACAACTTCATCTAATCAGACTGAACTTTTCATCAAAAGTATATTGAACAAATTTTTTCGAAGATACTTCTCTTCACTCTCTTTCACTCTTCGTTTCTGAAAATAAAACTTTATATGTACAAAATTGTCCGGAGTTCCTTCAAAATTCCTAAAATGGAAGATCAGTGATTTCGTCAAGACGCTCGAGGAGTCTTCTAGATTTTTCCACTTTTGCAAGATTTTCCGTGGGAAAGTCGAACTGAAGACATTTGTTACTGTAGTGGACTACTGGGAATGTCATAGGAAAAGGTGCGATAATTTTGAGTATTAAGATGAAGAAATGGGAGTGCGATTTCCATAAACTTTTTATCAAAGTGTTAAAAGTATCGTGTAGTAGTACTGAATAGAAAGAAGTATGCTCCAGAATTCAAACCAAAAAGAATTTTATGAATTCTGAATTTCAATAATTACCATGCGCTTTTCAGATCTATTTTAATACAACGAATACCTTCTATCTTAGTAACTAGTTGGATCTGAGCAAAAATATTTGATATTGGTGATTACAGTACTCCTCAAAAGTAGCGGACCGCCTGTAACTCAAGAACCATGATAGCCAGAGACTTCTAATTTGTGTGGTCACAACTCTTACAGAATGCTGATCACTCACCAAGTTTAGGCCTCTTTTACTAGTCAGCAAACAAAACTGAGTCGAATAGCAAATTTAACATTTGGTTTCGAACAAAAAGATTTTACTGAAAATTTTCCCGCTAGGTTAAAATGGTGAGTGTATAACTTTTCTACCAAAAGCTTCACCCACGTTTTTCGGAACCATAGATTTCTATGATTATTTTTTCATAGTTATGATGTGCATTCAAGTTGAATGCACATCATAATTATAAAAAAATAATGCATTTGCAATAATGAATCTGCATTGGCAATGCAGATTCTATAGTAGAAAGAGCGCCCCGTAGTTCCTGACCCTCGCTCTTCGATGTATGTTTCAATCATGGGTATCAAAACTACATTTTGGTAAAAAGAAAAGTTTTCATCTCTCTTGGATCAGGAGTTATTAGCGTTTTACAGGGAAAAAGATAAAACGCTTATATCACATGAACCATCTAGTAAAAGAGGCCTAAATTTGGTGAGTGATCAGCATTCGGTAAGAGCTGTGACCGCACAAAATTAGGAGTCTCTGTCTATCATAGTTCTTGAGTTACAGGCGGTCCGCTACTTTTGAGGAGTACTGTAGATACACGATATTCATGAATAATTCGCAAAAAAAATTCCTTCAAAGTCGTCTGCAAAATAATCTGATAAAGTGGCAGAAATAAAGGATTACTAAAGATCATTTTGATATATACCACTGTAATCTCGTGATTATGGTCGTATTATCCGTTATGACACCTTGTCGAAAGACCGTCGATGTATATCGTGAGTCATAGAAATAGACTGTTGGCCCCGTGACTAGTAGAACAATAATCAATGTAATAAATGTCATACAGTAATATTTATATCGTTTAAAATGACTTTGATTTAAAAATCGTTGAAAAACTCTCGTAACATATGAAAATCGATCGTATGTCCAAAATACAGTAATCCATGCGGATAAAATTCTTAGACATGATGAAAAACGATACAATTTACAATTGAACCATGTATAACCAGCCCAATTGGCAATCCAACGACGTGTATCAGAATGAAGAATAAGCGAATAACGAAATACACATAATAGATTAATGAATAAAGAGGCGAGTGCTAAACGACCATACGTTGAATGACGAAATTTTCTTGATGAAAATACAATTATCCCGCTAATATTGCCAAATAACCCTAATATAAACATTGTGATACAAATCCAATCAATAACATTTGTTATAGACATTGATAGTTATTAAACATATTATATTGTACTAAAATCAACCGAATTAAATTCGAAAGTAACATAGATTGTAAAATAGATTTTTCTCTTTTTTTAACTACAAATTAACTAAAATATTTATTTTATTACTTGATCAGGGTAAAAACTTTTTTTCAATTTTTTTCAATCCTAACCAGGGAATCCCGACATTATTAATATCAGATGCACTTAATCCTGTTTTTTAATGATATATCGAATAATGGTTCTGATTTCAATTTTTTCTGTGTTGCTCCCATGTCCGTAGACGTGGATGTCTGTATGCTATCTGCCCGTGGGTGTCTGTGGATATCAGTGGGTGTGTTCATGTTTTACTATTACCCGTCTCACAAGCATGTAAAAGAAGATTCGTAGTGGTGTGCGTGTTTGTGTGTTCCTATAATTTTTCCAGTGCTCCATTTATAAAATAAAACCTATAAGTATTTCTTGTCTAATCGTAGAGCTTCAAAAATGAAAAACTAGAAGAAACTTTTTAAATCTTGAAAACTAAAAGTGAAAAAAGAAAAAAGTACTCACACTTAATCTATTTTCAGATCATTTTTTCTAAACTGTAACATTTTTAAAGCGACAACAAAAAATATTAAAAAAAGAAGTGTTAGAAAAGAAATTATATTTGTAATTAACTAAATATCTATGTCTAATAAAACTATGATCGTTTATCATTTTAAATTTATTCCTATTATAACTATTCTCTCTCGGGGATGTAATCGAATGATGCATGAATGCTTTTGGTATATAGAAAAATCATGGGGACAATGAAGTTCTAATCATCAAATTGTGATCAGCTCCCTGAAGATTATTTTTTTTTCAACTAATATACAATATATAAAGTGCAATTTGAAGAAAGACAACATACTTATCAGCGAGTGAAAATTTGCACTCATTTTCTTTGGATGTTCTATACTTTTTCGTTTCCATAATGATCAATATAGGCGTTCTATCACTTAACTTGTTTAAATACAATTCTAGTAAAACTTCTTGTAACCAAGATCTTGACTCACGACCTCGATAAGAAAATGTCAGAAATTCAAGAAAGTTCAAGAATCCCCAATATTTTGAACGTCTTTAAATTTTATGAGTTGTTTTACCAAGATACTGGTAATTCTTGAATAACCATTTTATTTCACACTTTTCCTTCTAGATGACTGCAAAAATTTTCCTTTCATGAACAAAGCTATTCAAAAATGACCCTTTAATCAGATATGATTGTATACTTAATCGTTATAGCTGTCATATGAGAAAGAAAATGTAGAAAAATTTTCATCACAATACTTTGAAATATCTTGACTCGATTCACTCAAGATCTTGAGTGCAAGTTTCAAAAATTCAAAGTTCTTTGATTTCTTGGAGTCTTTTTCCAAGTTCTTGTAACATTTCTTAACCCAGGACCTTGGATGCAAGCAGTTTTACTAGGGAATTGACGAATATTGTTTCATATCACAGGGCATGTGCAGGACTGTACTGATACCACTAACCGACAGAATTATTGCCTTATCAGAAAATCGTTGAACGTAAACAACTGATGATAAATATTCAATTAAGTCGAAAATTGAATGGGCTATTTTATTTAACCTGTACCAAGTTGGTGACAAAATATCTATATCAACGCCATTATGGAAACGAAAATGTATAGAAAATTAGCGTCCAAAGAAAATTAGCACAACTTTTCACATGTAAATATATTGTTTTACTTAACACAGTTCGTTGTCACATATTATAGATTTGTCTATATTGTAATTTCGAGGCTTCCAAATTGAGACTACTTTTTGGTTAAAAATTATTAATTGGATTAAAAAAGTGGTCTCAACTCGGAAATGAGAATTTCTATAGAAAGAAAAAGTTGGTCTCAATTCGGAAAGAGCCTGTAATTCTTATATTTGTTGAGAAATGAAAAATGTTCAGGAAACTGATTATAATAGAGTTCTATCGTAGAGCGTAAATTCGTCTTTTTCTTGATGTGGCATGTATGTAGAACATATGTGCATCTTGTCGTAGTCTATGTGAAATGAAGAATTTATGATCTACGATAGAACTCTAATTTGATGATCAAAAAAAACTCCTACGTAAGATTATGATGTGCCGATGTTTCTTCTTTATCATATGATGTGCAAAAGATTCATCTATAATATAGGACAATACACGAAACTCTTATCTGACCTTTATCATCAACAATGTCATAATGAATAACAGCGTGGACAAGTGTAACCCTGTGACATTTTTTTGCACACTGTTTTCTACTTTTCTCTGAAACTAATGCAGCTAGAAACTTGACATATTTTTGTTAATGTGTGACAAATCACAATTCTACTTTTTTTACATTTTTTCATAAACACTACAATCTTTTTAAAAAACAATTAAATATACGGTTTGTGGTGAATATTGTGAATTTTCTTTTAATTAAAAGATAACTTGCAAAAAGTCACACGGAAAAGTTAATTTTCATTTATTAATGCTGTGACACAGATCATTATCAATATTTTCTTTTGTTTCTAAAGTTTCAAAGACAAATCTAATTTCGACAAATTCCAATGGTATCAAGTACAATTAACATACGGGAGCTAAAACAGACCAGCGTGCTGTAGGTCGTTCCACAGTTCTGTAGCGAATATATCGATTTCATTGCTCATGTTTAAATTGGACGTCGCGGAGCGTTCTATGAAATGGTCTTGCAGACACTTGACAATATCTGTAGGGGTTTTGTGTGTGGTACTCTCTTCGGTAAGTGCAGCAAATTAGATTGTTTTGATTGCTAATTAATTGCTATATATTCTTCTGGTATCCTCTCGTTTCGTCCCGTATTTGTTAATTAGCTCTCGTTTCGTCCCGTCTCATTTCGTCTCACACTTGTTTCGTCCCCTCTCGTTTCGTCCCACACTCGTTTCGTCCCGTCTCATTTCGTCTCACACTTGTTTCGTCCCCTCTCGTTTCGTCCCACACTCGTTTCGTCCCGTTTACATTTTCTATCATTCTACTCATTTTATAACTATTCATTTTTTTCTATCAACTGTATACTAATCAATATTAATAT